ACAACAAGTAGTAGTAGTAGTAGTAGTAGTAGTAGTAGTAGTAGTAGGTAGTAGGTAGTAGGTAGTAGGTAGTAGGTAGTGGTAGTAGTAGTAGTAGTAGCAGTAGTAGTAGTAGTAGTAGCAGTAGTAGGTAGTAGGTAGTAGTAGTAGTAGTAGGTAGTAGGTAGTAGGTAGTAGGTAGTTGGTAGTAGTAGTAGCAGTAAGTAGCAGTAGTGGTCGTAGTAGTAGTAGTAGTAGTAGTAGTAGTAGTAGTAGTAGTAGTAGTAGTAGTAGGTAGTAGGTAGTATTGTAGTAGTAGTAGTAGTAGTAGTAGTAGTAGTAGTAGTAGTAGGTGGTGGTGTGGTAGTAGTAGTAGTAGTAGTAGTAGTAGTAGTGGTAGTAGTGGTAGTAGTAGTAGTAGTAGCAGTAGTAGTAGTAGGTGGTGGCGTAGTAGTAGTAGTAGTAGTAGTAGTAGTAGTGGTGGTAGTAGTAGTAGTAGTCGTCGTCGTCGTCGTAGTAGTAGTAGTAGTAGTAGTATAGTGCAGCAGCAGCAGCAGCAGCAGAAGCAGGATTCCGGTAGCAGCGGTGGCGGTGGTGATGCTGGTGGTGATGCTGGGTGTGCGTGGTCATGGTCGTTGGTGTGGTGGTAGTGGTGGCGGTATGAGTGGTGCGGAGCGGCAATGGCAGTGGCGTTGGGAATGGTAGTGGCAGTAGTGGCAGTGGCAGTAGTAGTGTAGGTAGGATCGGCAGTAGCAGTGGTGGTGGTAGTGGTGGTGGTCGTCGCGGTGGTGGTCGTGGTCGTGGCCGTGGTCCTGGTCGGTCGTGGTCGTGGTCCTGGTCCTTGTCGTGGTAGTGGCAGCGTCGCGGGAGTGGGAGTGGTAGTAGTCGTTGGGGTGATTGCTCTTGTTGTTGTGGTCGCACTACTTGTCCACGAGCCGTGGCACCAGTGCCAGAAGTGGCACTGGTAGCGGTGGTGGTGGTGATGGTGGTGGTGGTGGTGGCGGCACGGTCGGTGCCGGTCGTGGTGGCGATACTGCTGCTGACTGTGGTGCTGGTATTTGCTGGTACACATGGGGCTGCTCGCGACGGAAGTGATTTCCGTGGTGGCCGCGTTCATTGTTGCTATAGTAGCTATAGTGGTGGTGGAGGTGCAGGTGGCGCTGCTGGCGCTTGCAGCTGCGGGTGGTGGTGGCGGCGGTAGTGGCGGTAGGAATCCCGCAGCACGAACAGTTTCAACACGTGAAGGGCGTAAGTATATAAGCATTCAGGAACGTGACAGTACAGAGGAGAAAGGTCATTGCCCGACACTCCGTGGCCCGCACTGCTGTATTTTTTAACGCGAGCCTAGCAGCACAACGGACTGGTGTGTATGACGGTGATACTGGCGAGCATGGCTATGCAAGCGGCAGCTTTGCGATGGAGCCATGGGCTTCGGCAGCACTGAAAGGTTTCCCTGCAAACTCTGCAAGTGTTTGCTTCAGGTGGTGTTGAGAGGTGTCCTAGCTGAAAACAGGTCAATGAAGAGGCTTGCAGATGCCTGTGTTCCACCATGTCTGTTTCATCGACAAGCAGTCCAACTGTTTAAAGGGTCTGCCAGAAAGGTGCGCCACGTCCAAACTTGGTAACTGTACTACGTCGACAAGCTTCACATGCCCATTGAAGCCCCTGCAAAAAATCCTTAGAAAGGAGACGGGCTTCCCAAAACCCACCCTGACGCCCTGGTCTGAGCTTGCACATTTGGCATAGAAGCCGGCCTCGCTAGCCTCGTTGGCTGTGGACCAACCGTACCAGTCCGGATGTAGCTTGAACGCTGAGTTTTCAACTCTGAACCTAGACCTACCGGCCTTTCATAGTTCGTCTAACTAGTAGGGTCCCTGTAGAAGAACCTTTGAAATGAAAGGTACCCCGAGTTATAAGAAAGGCATCGACAAAACCAAACAATACGCTATATACTGTCCACATACCAACAACTCTGTACCAAGGCAATTTTTTGTCCGTCATGCTGAGCATACTTCTGCACTTGGACGACTTGAATGTCATCTCCGGGCGGAAGGGGGTATGATTCCTAATCAGCCAATCATTCCGACCAAATATTCCTAATTATAGCCATAAGCCCTGAACTTGGAGCTGGAAGCCTCGCCGCATGCGAACATCGGGGCTGTCAGGGGCTTCTTGGCCTCGGGTGCAGGCGGCCTTTTTTGGGGGGTTCTGCCAAGGAAAAAGGCTTGGGGTTTGCGGTTTGAAATGTAGGGTTTATAGGGTTTAGGTCTTATACGGTTTAGGGCGAAGGATTTTGTTTTGCCTCCTCCTTCCGAGGAGTGAGCGGTTTGGGGGCTTTGGAGGGGCACTATGGCATCAGCGAAACCTGGAGCCTATAATGCCAACTTCAAGCAACACTCCTTACTGTAATTACCTCTGCGATACTGGAGCCTTAGCAGCCTTAGCCTTAAAATGGGGATACCAACCCCACGTTTGAAACCCGTGCAGAGGCTGTAACTCCCTATCTTTTTGTTGAGTCACGGCCTCAGGCCGGCACGCTATCCTGAATCCCAGATCCTGAATGCTAAACCCCGAAAGCAAGCTAAATGCCTAGAGCTTGAGCGCCAAAAATCTCAACATGGAAATCCTAGCTCAGCAAGCCAAGTGACGGGTTTGGGACATACTGCAAGTATCGGGGCTGGGTAATTGTCACATGGTTGGTTCAATGTGCAGAAATGAAGCTTATGTAGGATGTGGGGGGCTTAGTTTAAGAAATGGCTCAGGGCATAAAAAGCCAGGGTACAGGATCTGTGTCAAAGTCAATAGGTTGTTGTGGCACAGAATCTGTAATAGAACCCTTCGCGCCCTGGTTTCTGATGGCTAGCAGATTGAAGCTTCGAGGTCAAACATTCGGCGTACACCACTGTCGGGTTCACGTATTTCACATTCAAGGTAATGTAGGGGTCTTAACATCCAGAAAAGGGTTTTAGACGACAGGGAACCCTCAAGAATACGATCTCTGATTTTGCAAGCCACTTCAGTACCGCATCCCAGCCGAACTCTATGTACATGTCTATAAAGTGCACGAGACACACGTGCAAACTCCATAGCCGTACAAGATAGACCAGGGCTGGAACCCGGTCTGAAAGCAAAGCAGGCACCAGAACCTTAAACTTACTCCGGAATCCAAAATGCCCACAAAAACACCGTCGACAAGCATCCCTTTGCTGGCTCCGAGGTGCAGATGTCGTGCCGGCTGGTCGGCATGGTGCGGACGCGTGCCTGCGATTCAGCGGTGCAAAAGTCAAATTCACAAATTCATAGGTGATTTGCTTAGCAGCACCCTCTATATACCTGCAGAAATAGCTCGAGAATCAACTTTCTATACAGTACGGTAGTTAATGTAGACTGCAATGTACCGCAGACTGTAGTGCACCACACATACCACACTCGTGCTCGTTGCAGCAGGCCTTCTGTCCTGCTCAGTCACTTGAGGTCTGCTGGACGGTAGCTACGGGTCAGCGGGGTGGCTCAAAACGAAATGCAAGCGCACACCTGTAGTCTTGACACACTGCACACAAGATGGCTGGACACAGCACCCATGTAAGCCTAAATTTGTGAAATTCTGGACCTCAAACAAACAACGCATGCAGCAGACTGCTGAGGTTGTCCGAGGAGTGCAAAGCAGACTCCCAAGAGGGAGCCAGAAAGGAATGGGTTTAGGGTTCGGAGGCACAAAGGCTTGTCTGCACTGTGTAGGGATCGCAGCCTGGCGCTATGTTATTCTGGCTGTAGGCTTGCTGCTGCTACCACGACTACCGAGAACCAACATATCCAACAAGACACCTCCAAGAGTAGAAAGAACTTTTCGAGTTCTTCCTCCGTGGGCAGGGACCTTGGCGATTCAGAGCTTGTTAGAGGCTCAAGTAAAGTACATTGGGCTCCTTTCGCTTCGCTTTGCTCAGCCTCTTCACGAGTTTACGGGTTTTGGGATCGAGAGCTGGTTTAGGTCTTCTGGGTTAGAGTCTGCTTACGGCTTAGGTTCGGGGAGGGATAATTAGAAAAGGTTTCGGGCTCCCTTGTAGTATAACTATAAAAATGCACCTGAAAAACAATATTGGTAATTGCTTCGGCTTCTATAGTAGTTTGGGAGTTTGGGGCTTCATGGCTTTTGGGCCGGTTTGAGAGTCTGACTATGAGCTCTTGAGAAGGCTTTCTATCGGCCCCCTTTACACTCAAGACTCCTGGAACCCCATTAGAACCTGGGACCCTCAACCCGAAACCCTAGATCGGGACTTTAAAGACCGCGAAAAATATTCGTAGCCAAGATCCTCTTCAGCCCAATAAGGGAGAATTCAAGATGTCTCAAAAGCCTACCTAGGAACACGTATCCGAGACCTAGGACCTAGAAGAGGGACTTGTAACTACGGTTTAGGGCCCCAGGGCTCATCCAAATTGGTTAGCATCTGAGGGCTCAGGGTTTAACCTTGAACCGTAATTCCAAAATTTTGCATAAACCAAAGCATGAACTCTATATAACTTCTAAACACTGCACCACAAAAGCCCTTCAATCGGCACGCAAAACACACACAGAGAGAGAGAGAGAGACAGAGACAGAGAGGCAGAGATGGAAACACCAAATCCAAAGCAAACACTTAATATCGTAACCCCCGAAGAGCCCGTAAACCCTAAACCCTATTTCCCTAAACCCTAAACCCTATATCGCCCATATTCCTGAATCATAATCCTTAAACGTACCCATAGGCCCCATAGTAGTTCCTTTTTGGGATTGCCCTATAGCATTCTAAACATGAACCCCAAAAAGGAACTACTATGGGACCTAAGGGTATACCCTAAACCCTAAACCCTTAACCCTAAACCCTAAAGCCTAAACCCTGAACCCTAAACCCTAAACCCTAATCAGGGACCCTAAACCCCTAAGCCCAAATCAGGGACCCTGAACCCCTAAGCCCTACTTCCACAAACGCGAAGACCCCGAAGCTGCCCTTGCAGGGCTTCCGGCGCGCTGAGCGGGAAGAAGTCCGACCTTGAAGCTGGGGCTTAGGATTTCGGATTTAGTTGCTCGAAACTAGCAGGGACTCCTTCAAGAGGACCAAAGTAAGCACCGGCTAAACATCCGGAGGCTTATGTGAGAGTCAAAAGAAGCAGGCCCAAAAACACACAACTATTGACAATGCACTTTGCAGAGCTTCACCAGTACAGCCCTTGGACCCCCAGGCACAAGAACTACTATTCGCCGTCGAAAAACAAACGGGCAACTATATATTGAAACCCCAGAATTTCAATTAGACAGAACCTTTGCAGCACCCCGTAGAGCCCTTTGTGGAAACAGTGTAGAAACTGGGCGTAGGATCCTCAAACATGGAAACCATGTTTAAAGAAGCCGCAACGAAACCTGATGGAACACTTGAAGAAGACGTACAGAAACCCCTCAGATAACCTTGCACCAACCTCCTCGAAACATCGTACAGCCCGCGAAGAAATCTTCCAACCCTTAACAGGAATAGAGGTCTCATATTGTAAGCCCTCGTTAGGGGCCCAAAACCCTAAACCCTAAAAGCCCTAAACCCTAAATCCTAAAAGCCCCAAATCCTAAACCGTAAAGAGCCCTAAACCCAAGCTCAACGAAACGTGGGCTTCGAGCTCAAACTCCTCGAATTGTAGCGGTCGGCCGCGGGGGAAGAAGCTTGACTGGCTGGTGCCTGAGGCTTACTCCTAAGGGTTTCAGACTTAGGTTAATGCAACCAACCCTAAACCGGGGGTTTGGGAGTTATACACTCTCAACTCAGACAAGCCAAGCGAGGTTCCATAGTTGCAGGTCGGAGTGATACAGTTAGAAGGTCCGCTTGAGCGGTGCTTTGCAAAGGACGAAGATAGGGGTTTGGGGTTTAGGGTTAGGGCTTAAGGGCTCAGAGCAACCCTAAACACCGAACATGGGGGTTAAGATTTGGGGCTGACGGTTGTTGGGGAACCCTAAGCCCTCGCTTCAACATCAGGGGGTTTCGGCGTCACTATCTAGACTCTAGGCCCTGCGCCCTAGATACTGGTTCTGGTCGAAGCGATAATTCGTGGTGTTACCTTCGGTTGCAGAGTCCTTTTGGGTTTCGGCTCTCCAAA